GTTGAACTAATCGTCTTCGTCAGGAGTTTGTATCTGAGTACGATTGAACTCCCTAAAATCATCCTTTTTGACTTAGAAATTTTATCCTGCGCCTTATTTTGACAAAGTCGTCAGCGCGCTGACCGACGTTGACTTTTATTTGCAACGCGTTGATCGGCGTTGACTTCCATTTGCAACGCGTTTGTCGGCGTTGACTTTCGCTGTAACGTATTGACCGACGTTAACACAGTTTATACTCGTGCATTTACAACGCGTTGACCGGCGTTGACCGCTGTAAATTATTTATTTTTTGTGATAAATGGCCTTAAGAGATAATTGTCTTAAATAGATCATTGCATTTACCTTTTGACTTTCTTTTTCAATTGTTCAAGTAGGATACACAAATGTCTAAGATTTTATCCATGTACAGTGTACACGCCAAATGGAGACTATAACTAAAATCAAAGGTACATCAATAACACTCTTAAAATCATTAAGTAGAGAATGAACAAGATGGATATATCCGAATCAGGAAAAAGGTTCACATTTGCATCATGACGATGCATCATTAGAAGTTCATCAGCAAAGGAAGGTTAGCGTTGAAGTAATTGGTTTCAAATTGATACATCAAAAAGTAGTAAATGTAAGAGAATAGATAACATAAAAATGATGATTTTTTGTTGAATGAAATATTCAAAGCCTAGAAGTTATTGAAAGGAAAATTATTTCTCCTTAGATAAAAAACCTGCTCTTGAAGTTGTGTCTTTGAGTAATGGAGGAGTCGAACAAGCTTTTATAGTGAATTTGTATAAAATAAAGTTAATTGTGGGTTTGATAGGCTTATTAAAGGGGCGGGGAAGGGATGAGAATGTTACAATGCTAACCATCCAAAAATTGTGTCCGGTTACCCACCCACTTCTATGATCCTCTTAAAATGGACGAATTGGATGGAAAGGGATTGGGATTACATTGTGTTTGGGAGCATGCTAGAGGAAGAGAAGGGAGTATAGAATAAGGAAAGGGAAGATAGAGAAGGAGAAAGAAAGAATAATATCTTGTTTGGAAGTTTAGTAAAGAGAATGGGGGGTACATCATGTTTGAGAGTTTCAATAAAGGGACGGGAAGAAAAAAATGAGCGATCATAATCAAAACTCAACTATTGATCCATGATGATAGAGGACCAAACATTGATATTTTTCAATATTAGTCCCTTAAATCATTGATATTTTGATATTAGTCCGCAAAATCTTCATATTTTGATACTAGTCCCTCAAATTACCTTAATGTTGATATTAGTTCTTCTATAACTTAAGTGTTAAAAAATCCTAAACTATGGTTAGGTTTAGACTAGGCAGATGAATAATTACCTTATTATCCCTCCCTCCCTCCATCCCTCTCTCTTGTGGAATTCAAAACTGACTAACTAATTAAATGTGGCAACTTCACAGAACAATATGATGAGCTTCTTGGTGTTATTGTGGATGTTGATGATGATGAGGCTGAGTTTTTAATGGGTTTGGTTGACGAACCATGCCTCTTCTCAATGGATAGCGCATCACAAAGAGTGTGATTGGCCATTTGAATGTCGATTTCAAGCCTTCTTTCCCAGTGGACATTGGGGGTTGATCGGCCATTTGAATGTCAATTTAAAGCCTTCTTTCCCATTGGTCATTGGGGTTTGATGAGCTGTCATCACCATTCTCGAGCTTCTCAAGCTTCTTCTTGAGGTGAGCATTTGAATAGTTGGGCGATGAAATTTTCTTGTTCTGTGAAGTTGCCAAAAAGGGCTTGGAGATGGATGATGAGCTTTTCCTCTTGCTCTGTGAAGTTGCCACGGTTGAGGAAGAAGGTTGGGTGCGAGAGTGGACAGTTAGGAAAGAAGGTGAAGGAATTGGGTTTTGATTTTACATTAAAGGATTTGGAGTAGGGTGCTAACTCTTAACGAGTATGAGCAAATAAGTTGTAGGTTTGGGATTATAACTAAGGGGTATAATTGTCTGTCCAATATTAAAGCTAAAAAAGCGTAATATTCTCTATTCATTTTTACACCAACTAACTAGAAGGGTTAATATTAACATATTAAGGTAATTTGAGGGACGAATATCAAAGATATGAAGATTTGAGGAACTAATATCAAAAGATTAATAATTTAAAGGATTCATATCTAAAAACCCCTAAACTTTTTATGACCAATTCCCATCCCCTCTACAACCCAATTTAAGGCGAACAAAATAGCAACATTTTTATAGAAATTTCATCTTCCCTATCCTCTATTACACCCTCAAAAAAACTTCCAAACAGAGTTCCAATGCAACTTTCCTTCCCCTACATCTTGCTAAACCCCATCCAAACATGCTTTAAGTAAAATTCTCTCAATATTTCAATATTTCACTTAGACTCTATTTGGATTTAGGGTGATGAGATGAAGGAGATGTTAGTACACCAATAACCCTATTTGGGAACTCACTTGATTGGGATTGATAGAAAACAATAACCCTATTTGGGAACTCACTTGATTGGGATTTATAGAAAAAGATTAAAACAATAACCCTATTTGGGAACTCACTTGATTGGGATTTATAGAAAAAGATTGTCCCACGGGGACAATTTTACCCTCTCAAGATCAGATCCATGACTGAGATTGAGGTTGAAGTTCTCTTCCCTTTAAAAAAGCTTCCAAATAACGTAAAGTAAGTTCCCCTCTTCCCCTTAAAATGCCAAAACAATATTATGTTTTTCCTTATCTTGCCTCTACTTCCCTTTTAACTCCCCACCCCCACCTTCAAAAAAAACTCAACTTACCTTGCCTCAGTAAATTCTCAAACATGGACTTAGAGAAATTAAAGAACTTTTAGATGGCTTTTTATGGATTAAGGTTAATATCACCGATGCACCTCACTAAACATTGTATAAAGCTGTTTGCACTATTTTGCACTATTGAGGGGAGATGAACAGTGTATAAAAAAGTTCGCACTATCAGAAAGTTGTTTGGATCTTCCATGTTCTCTTTTAAAAAAATAACTGATTTAGTCCTTATGTTTAATTTGTTGCTGCAACTTGAATTGTATATCATCAGAATAGTAATTGATTGATATTTGATCTTTAGTATAGAAGAAGTATCGAAGGTTCTACATTTTCGAAATAATCAAACACACAAGAAACTTTGGATACTGCAACAATAGAATGATAATATGAGATAAGGAACCTAGTAGAGTCAGTTATAAATAACCAACAATTGTTTTCATTCCAGCCTTCGTATACACTGATCATTTATCCATCAATTTCTGATGAATGTCTCATAGAAACTCATATCATCTATGCATGATTAAAAAAACCTATAAATTTTCATACTGACATGTAATAATATCTACTAATTTTTATTATGCTTTTATCGAATATTAAATTACAAAAGGTATAGCTCACTGGAGGACATTTTTTTTAGAAACTATCACCAAGATAAAGGGTATATTTGGTCATGCAGCTTCCCTTACCTTCCCATTCTTTACTCTAAACAAACACAAATTATAATCATCTCTCTCTTCCCCTTGATATCTATCCAAACACAATTAATTGCACTGCATCCCATTCCTTTCCATGCCTTGCCCTTTGGCTTAGTTCAATCATTCCCCTCTCTTGGCCATTTTGTATCCAAGCCCACCATAAAAGAACGTGTGGAAAACTTACTTTATAACCCTATAAAAAGAATGGTAAACAAGCAGTTGCTATAAATCAATTTCAAACTACTGGAGATTTTGAAAGTTTTGAATCCAGTATAAGATTGCCTGTCCTGCTAGACTGTAAAGGACTGGTACTAAAAGCTATAATATTTTCTTTCAGGATTGATACATGTGCAAAGTCAAAAAAAAGAATTGCATAGATATTGATATTGATATTTTCCCTCTGCAATAACAAAATACAACTTTTTACCCTATGTTGTCATGTGACCATATGCTATTATTCTACTTGTTATGGAATTGTTGTATCCCCATGTCTGTATCCTAATGATATATCCATGCTTCTTGGGATAGCCCAGTAAGGCCATAGGGTAGGGATAAGCACCAATTTGGCCAAACACAAAAACTAATAAGCCTATGTAATCAAGTTTCAGACTGTCATAGGACATAAGATCCTTGGCTTTGGCATTGATACAATTTCCAAGTTATGCAATGCAAACTCAAACTCGACAGAACAGTATTTAGAAATGTTATGAGCCTAAGCGTGGATGGCATGTAAACTATTCTTTTAGGAACTCCATGAACACGGTGGTTGAGGTTTTGGTGCTAAGGCCATATTAGCCAACTGATGAGCAATAGTCAGTCAGAATACTTGTGACAAGGAGAGTACACACACACACACACACATATATATATATATATGAAGTCATCTATATATCAGAGTTTCACGAGGATAAGAGACTAGGTAAGTATTGACAGGAAATAGTTCAGGAGATTCCCCCTCCCCACCACCCCCAAAAATAAAATAAAATAAAATAAAACAAAATAAATAAGTAAGTTACCAGTACATATCAACATAGTTTGTTGTCACTCTGAAGGTTTATTTATTTGACTAACTTCTCATGCCTTTCCATTGCTTGATTCAATAAACACTTGTAGGCAACACAGAATAAATGCATGCATTATCTTCCAAACAAATCATGAAAAAAATCTGACAATTTCTGTGGTACAATAACTTCTCAGCCCTTTTTCTTTAATTAACAATAACCATGCACTCCTTTTCTAAATGAAGACATGAACTATCTTCACGTAGTAGGAGAGAGGGAAAATAAGATAAAATAGCCTGGCATTGAACTTTAAACATGACTCATCAATGAAGCCAGTCCACAGATGACCTCAGTTAACACAAACTAACAACATTAGAGAAAAGATAAACTAATACTGCAATGGAAAGGCTTTAAATTGAGGACAATTGCACATCATAATGAAAGACTTCAGACCCAGTTATAATCATGAGCATGTATAATCAATGCGCTTACATTTTGAACCCAAATAATCCATCCATACCTTCTTCGGTACCGTAACAGGCAGCTGATCGCCGAGGAGAGCACCTGCAGTCTCTCCGACACCTGCCCCTGCCATTTCTCTATTCTTCTGCTGATAAGTCTTCACCTGATTCTGCTCGCTGCTGCATTTAACAACAAAATCAGTATGTGGGGGGGGGGGGGGGGGGGGGGCGGCAAGGGAGCTCGGAAAGCGAGAGCGAGGATAAAACTTTCAGTTTACCTAGAGGAAGAGCGGAGCAGGAACTCTAGCGGACTTAGCCTCAAGCATAATCCTCTGCGCGTTCCTATAATGGGCAATGGCCTCATCGACGAGTCCCCATTCCTCAGCCCTAACGGCTTTATCGATCTCCTCCTTCGCCAATTCGAAGTAGCCCTTGAGCTTCAGGACCACTCTCTCGCTCACCACCGACGGACCCGCTTCCATTGCGCTGTTACTGGAGGAGACGGAGGAATCGGATCCGATTCCGGTGAAGAACTGCGAGAGGGAATCAGCAAAACCCTTGAAAGTGAAGCCCATCGCTGCGGTTGTTGGGATCAAAAGAGAGGGTTAGAGAGGTTACTGGTCGACGGGGGGTGAGACCGAGAGGGGATTTTTTTTACCTGCTGACGAGGGGGGATTTTGGTGAGAACTTCATACTTTTTTTTTTCCGCCTCTCCCCTCACTGCAAGAAAGAAAAGGTAAAGGCGAGGCTTTTCTGCAAGCAACGATGTGTTTCCGTTCCTATACGCGTGGGTAGTCGGATTGGGTTCATCTGGAAGTGAAATCCGAACCCGACAAAGAGATTGAATTGGGACCTCTCCGTACGCGAGGATCTGAGTGAGCCGAGTGGAGAACGGAACGCAGCAAAGAATAAAATGAAATAAGCTCGGGAATTATGCTCATTCCCATCCCCACGCTCAAGTAGAGAATGATCGGAATGACCGTCATTTTTTATTTCTAGTGTGGGTAATCAATAAGCAATCAATGTGTATTTGGAATTTATTTCAGAGTTTTTTTTCTCGTGTAAAGTTAGAATAAATGAGAAAAGGGAATGGAAATTCTAGCTTCGGATAAGATGTTGTGTTTGGTACGCACGAACGAGAATGATCATTTAGTAACAAAATGGAGTTTGCGACCCCCATAGCCAAATTTCACTTTGAAGGGGGAGGAAATTCGTCTCATAGCTCGATGAAAAGGATAATATAAGTTGGTAAAGGCATTCCATAAGTCAAATGGGTAAGGCTTTCTGAGCAAGCAAGAATAAAGCATGAATCGAGTCCTTCCCTGCGGGCCTATCTTGTCTTTCGCGGAATCACCAGTGACTGAGAATTTGACTTTTTAGGGAAAGGATGGTTTCGTATAGATTGAGATACCCGTGGGCCCTTTTGAATTGCAGAGGAGTAGTTCAAAATGAATTTTGAAATATAAAAGTATTGGATAACTTATGATCTTTACCGCAATGGTAGTTCGATTTTATTATACGAAAATTCTTATTTTATTTTATTTTTATTAATTTTTTTTAAAGAAAGTAGACAGAGCCTCCGTAATGAGCCTCGAATCACTTTCATTCCTCAAAATGGACTACATCCAAAAGAAGAGACTACACCCCCAGCCTTAACAGTGTGGTCTCACTTAATCACAATAACATATTTATCACAGACATCACCTAGTTTACTACATCAATGCTTAATGCAAGCTATAAATCAAAGTAAACTTCCTAGGAACTAGGGAAAACAAAAAGAAAATAGCATCAACAGCAACCCTTATTATTAGATAGTCATAGGTCCTTCACCTACTCCATTGCGCCAAAATTCTTGATCAGCAGCTACCACTACAGAAACCTCTACTCCTGTTGTAGATTCAATAATCAACTCCTACTCATGTTGGACAATAGCTTGAGAACAATTGCCTGGCTAGAAAGTATCAAAATAAGATATCTTCTTTCAAATATCAAGTACGGGCATGCGTTTGTGCATGAATTACTTCTTATTTATTTGTCCCCTGTGTTGGTTTTGGAAGTGTGAAGAGTGAAACTTGAAACAAAACCGTGATTCTGGAAATTCTCGAGTCGGTCGACCAACATGATGACTCCGGTCGACCGCAACGACTATAGGAAAACAGCCCAGGAACTCACTCTGGCAGGTGGACCGAAGCAAGATGGTGGTCGACCGAGAGTGGTCATTCGGTCGACCGAAGGTGATGGTCCGGTTGACCGAAAAGGTGCACAAAACCCTGTAGGAAATTGACGTTCTGGTCGGTCGACAGACACTCATGGTCCAGTCGACTGAAAGTCATTTTTCCAATTTCCTAAACTGTTTGGGAAATTGTTTTGGACTGGGATTCTATATATACCTAAACGATTTTAGGGTTATTAGAACACGTGAAAAAAAAGGATTTTGAGAGGATTCTTTCAGAGAAATCTCAGAAAGATAAAAACCTATTTATGGGCATTGTAATCTTCTTCACTTAATCAAAGAATTGTGTGGTGTGGCTCCCGAGGACGTAGGCTCGTTGCTGAACCTTGTTAAATCTGATATGTTCTTTCTTGTTTATCTTTCCTGCAATTTTTTCTTTTATTTGCGGTGATTTTCCTACTTGCTAAACTCTTAGCACAATATCCGAAAGGGCACGGGTTCGATTGATTGTTTCGAATCCCCAACAACTGGTATCAGAGCTTCGTTCAGAAGATTTGTGCAAGAGCTATGGCAGGGAAAAGCAAATCAAAGATCGAGAAGTTTGACGGGTTAGACTACGACTACTGGAAGTTGTAGATGGAAGACTATTTGTACCAGAAGGATCTTTACCGTCCGTTGATGAGCAAGGCTAAGGGAAAGAAGAAGGAGGAATCAGACGAGGAGTGGGAAATACTGGATAGGAAAGCTTTAGGGTAAATCTGATTGTTACTTGCCAAATCAGTCACTTACAATATATTGAAGGAGAAGACGACGGTGGGGCTTATGGAAGCGCTCGCGAAGATGTACGAGTAACCGTCAGCCGCAAACAAGGTGCATCTCGTCAAAACGCTCTTCAACCTCAAGATGGCAGAAGGATGCCCCTTCACGATGTACCTCAACGAGTTCAACATGATTGTTGATCAGCTTATCTCCGTAGATATCACGTTTGATGACGAAGTGTAGGCCCTATTGATTCTATCTCAGTTACCAGATAGTTAGGCAGGTTGCGTGACCGCAATCAGCAACTCATCGGGAAAGGAGAAGATAAAGCTGAGCGAGGTTGTTAGCATGATTCTATCCGAGGAGGTTAGAAGGAAATTGTCTGAATCAGAAGGTTCAGGTTCAACCCTAAATCTCAAGCAGAGAGGCCGAATCCAGAAGAAGGGTAACCAGAACAATAATTAGTCGAAGTCGAAGAAGAAGAGGTCGAACTCAAAGGTTAGGCTTATTAAAGGGAAGTGTTGGAACTGTGGCTAGGAGGGTAATATGTCTTCAGTTTGTAAAGTGCCAAAGAAGGATGTGAACAAGAAGGAGGCTCACATCATGCAAGATGCCTTGATCCTTACTATAGACAACGATTCTGATTCTTAGGTTATTAAATCAGGAGCCTCATTCCATGCCACTGTTAATATGAAGCTTCTCCAGAACTATATAGCAAGGGACTTTGGGAAAGTACACTTGGGGGATAACGAACCTTGTAGTATTGTTGGAAGAGGCGACGTGTAGATTCAGATGAAAGGCTCCAAGTAAAATCTGAAGAACGTCAGACACGTTGTAAAACCCCGAAAAATTTCTATAATGTATATATGTATATATATGTGTGAATTAGTAATAGTAGATAATTCCCTTGTGATAAATAACTATATAAGCATAAGATATATATGTGTATCAGAGTTTGGGAGCCCAGCAGGTGTCTGTAAGTGAGAGAAATTGAGTGAGTTGGCGATCAGCAGGTAAAATGCCATCAGCAGGCATTTTTATGCTGATCGGTCGACCGGCGCGGTCGACCGGCGCGGTCGACCGGCGCGGTCGACCGGCGCGGTCGACCGATCAGCGATCAGAGAGATTACCAGGTTTTGGTTTCGGGTTTTTAGTTGTTGGGTTTTGGGTTTCGGGTCGGGTTGGGGAGTTGGTATTTATACCAACTCAACACAGGAGAGATCTCCTCAGCCCCAAACGTAAACCCTAGCCCCCTCTCTTCTTCCTCAAAACCCTAACTGGATTTTGGCAACCTGGGAGCAGTCCTTGGGGATTTTCGGCAGATCGTGGGTTTTCAGCGAAGGGGATCAACATCTTACAGATCTAGGGCATTATCAGCAACCAAGGCGAGTAATTTCTCGCCCAACCCCCACCCCCTTTGGTTTAAACATCAAGAACTGAGTTTTTATTGGATTTATGGAGCCAAATTCGTATCTTTGTTTAGCTAATAGTTTACTATAGCCTAGAATATGGGTTTGGGGCTTAATATGTTGTCAAAACTCACCCATGCCCTGTTAAAGAAGATCTAGATCTGAGTTTTTGCCTAAAAGAGTTTCAAACATCTTTACAGCTTTTAAAACGATTTGGATTTGTTTCTCATGGATTTAAGATCTTGAAAATATAGATTTCAAACTTTGGTTTTGGTTGTGTATTTTCAGTATGATCCCATTTTTATCAAATACCCATGTTATCGAAATCTTTGGTTCCAGGTTTTAGCAGCTGACAGAACCCAGGTAGGGTTCTGTTCGCTCGGCGGTCGACCGACGCGGTCGACCGCTGAGCTCGAGTCAGGGCTTCGGTCGACCGCGTCATTTATTCGGTCGACCGCTATTTGATTTCGGTCGACCGCGTCATTTTTCGGTCGACCGCGATGTCTGGTCGGTCGACCGATATTCCTGGCGGTCGACCGTCCTGATTTGTATCAGAGTTCGGTCGACCGTATCG